ACATAGCATGTCCTTTATTAATCGTCATCAAATAAATCACCAGAATGAACGTACTAAAGGCCTTAATGCTCTCCCCTCCCCCCACCAGGCTATGCGCATCAACAGCGAGTCCAAGCGTAAGTCGACAGTGGGTGACATAGTCAACCTCATGTCTGTAGACGCCCAGCGCTTGCAGGAGTTCATGATCAAGGTCTCCTTCACCATCGTCACGCCTATACAGATCATTGTCGCCATCGCCATCATCTACCTCAGTATCGGACCCTCCGTGCTGGTCGGTGCGTGCCTTTTGCGCTCCTCTTTCTTTGTTTGTGAGAAGGGGAGGGGGAGGGGTGGGGGTGTTTTGTTTGTTGTTTTGTTTTGTTGTTGTTGTTGTTGTTTTGTTTGTGTGGTGGGGGTGGCGTTTTTTTCGGGGGGAGGGTTTTTTTGTGTGGGAGGGTTTCCCTTCAAATTTCCATTAAGGGGGTGTAGGCTGTTTTTACGCGTCCATCGACACAATTTAGATGACGTAGGAAGCGGGTTCCAACCCGGTTTTTCTTCGTCTTGTCCGTCCGTTTTCTTTAAATTCTTTTTTTGTTGTTTGTTTGTTTGTTTTTTGTTTTTGTTTGTTTTTATGCAAATGTGTTAATAATTATTTAAAGTGTAGGTGTATTACACCCATGTCGACACAATTTAGGCTTTCGGCATTGCCTGTCAGGGCCAACTCGGGATGAGAGGGCTACAACATCCCAGTAGAAAGACCGAGATACTCGATAAAAATTGTACTTCCACTCAAGAATCAAACTCGGATATCCTGCTCGCGACAACGCAGCGCCTAACCGCTACACCATAGTCGATGATGCGTGACTCTTTATCTGCTTCTTTGTTGATGGGAGAGGGGGGGGGTTCTTTTAGTATTCTCATTTTGGTTGGTTTTAGTAAGTGTTTAATGGCATTTGCAACAGAATAAGGTCATATAAGTGCCGAAGATTAGAGGTGTAACAAGACAGTAACAAACACAAAAAAGAAGGAGGGGAGATAAAGACGATAGATGTTTGATAGGAAAGAAGAAGCAAACCACACCAGAGCTCACGCCAACCACCTACTAGATATTTTGTATACACCTATACGAGGAACATGATACTGTAGACATACTGTAAACATCATACGGTAAACGTGATACTGCCAACGTACTGTAAACATGATACTGTTAACATCATACTGTAAACATCATACAGTAAACATAATATTGCCAACGTACCGTAAACATGATACTGTAAATATGATACTGTAGACATATTGTAAACATCATACGTTAAACATGATACTGTCAGCGTACTGTAAACATCATACAGTAGACATCGTACTGTCAGCGTACCGTAAACATGTTGCTTTGCCTGTTGAAGGGTTCGTGGTGCTGTTGCTGCTGATCCCCACCAACATCTGGATCGCCACCAAGCAGCGGGACCTGCTGAGGAAGAACATGGGCCACAAGGATGACCGTATCCGGATGGTCAACGAGGTCCTGAACGGAATTAAGGTCAGAGGTCACTTTCGGCTAGTTTGAGAGACAGGAAGACAGACAGACAGACAGACAGACAGACAGACAGACAGACAGACAGACAGACAGACAGACAGACAGACAGACAGACCTATACGGGAAACGTTATCACATACTGTAAACATCTTACGGTAAACATCATACAGTAAACATGATACTACCAACGTACACATCATACAGTAAACAGACAGACAGACAGACAGACAGACAGACGGACAGACAGACAGAGAAACAGACAGGCACGCACACACACACACACACA